AAAATGCAAGGGTTCTCATATACCAATTCCATTTCGTTATAGTCCATAGAGTAGGAATTTATTTTTTAATTTTTCCCGATCACTTCGTTTAGTTCCTTTTTAAGAGCAAAAGTTGTGAAAAAGAGCTATTTTTGAAGTTTTAACTTAAAAAAAATATATGTTTGGTAGTTTGCAACCGATTTTCAAATTGGATATTTTGTTTTAAAGATACAAGTGTTGTCTTTCAACCCAAAAAAATAAATCCAAAATTTATGATTAATGTCTTGGTCACGGCCATTTAAGTAAAAAAAACTCACAATTTTTATACCCACCATCAAAAAAGATGGGGGGTATATTGATTTTGTCATTCCGTTTGTAACACATCGAAATATTGGCCATAGACCCATAAAAGTATATATATTCCGGGTCCTTATTAAATTCTAAGACGATCTAGCCATGTCCGTCCGTCCGTCCATCTGTCTGTTGAAATCACGATAGGGATCACACGAGAGGAGCTAGACAGTTGAAATTTTGCATAAATATTCTCTATTGCTAAAGTTTGTTTGGTATTAAAAATAGGCAATATCGGTCCAATTTTTCGGATAGCCCCCATACAAGTGGACCTCCAAAAAACAGCTTTAACGGACATAACTGCTTCAGAAGTACGAGTATAGGGATGAAATTCGACATAAATAAGTTTCATATGAGCCAAAATCTTTCTACCAAATTTTTTGAGGATCGGCCCATAAATGACCCTACCCCTAATATATGGTCCCCTTCAGAAAATTACTTTAACACTCATTACTGGCCTAAAAATTCGAGTATAGCGATGAAATTCGGTATAAGTAAGTTTCTTACGAACCAAAACCTTTTAACCAATTTTTTTTAGGATCGGCCCATAAATGACCCTACCCCCATATACGGTCCCCTTCTGAAAATGACTCTAACACTCATTACTGGTCCCAAAATGCAAGTATAGCAGTGAAATTCTACATAAATAAGTTTCATGTGAGCCAAAATCTTTCTACCAAATTTTTTGAGGATCGGTCCATAATTGACCCTACCCTCATATAAGGTCCCCTTCAGAAAATGACTTTAACACTCATTACTGGTCCAAAAATGCGAGTATAGCGATGAAATTCGGTATAAGTAAGTTTCTTACGAACCAAAATCGCTCTACGATTTTGTTTTAAGATCGTCCCATAAATGACCCTATCCTCCATCTGAAAATGACTTTAACGCTCATTACTGGCTAAAAATTACGAATATAGCAATAACATTTTACACAATTAAGTTCCTCGCGAGCCAAAATATTTTTAATAACTTTTATGTGGATAGGTCCATAATTGGCCCTACTCCCCCTATTGGGTCCACTTCAGGAAATAGCTTCAACGCTCATTACTGTCTTAAAAATATGAGTAAAGCGATGAAGTGCTACACACTTAAGTTTCTTACGAGCCAAAACCTCTGTACCAATTTTTTTTTTTGGATCGGCCAAAAAATGACCCTTCCCGCATATAAGGACCCCTCTCTCTGCAAATAACTATAATGCTCATTACTGGCTTAAAAATATGACTGTAGTGACTAAAATTGATGCACATAAGTTTAATGCGTGCCAAAATTTCTCCACAACATTTAGGGAGGATCGGCTCTACGTTGGCCTTGAAGCAGTAACTTTAGCTTTTATTACATTTGAAAAAAGGCACATTAAGTTGGGTTTCCAATGATGGTCAATTTATGATAATCGATGAAAAAGGTTATGAGTTGTGCTAAGTTTTATAAAAATATAGCATATTTCTTCCATACAAAAACGTTCATGTTTCTGGTTTTCTTTGTAACAAGTTTAAAAAATGTTTATAAACATTTTTATACAAAAATTAATTTGTATGGAGAAAACCAAAAATTCGAGAAACATTCTATTAGAAAAATTGGCATAAATCATCCAGTTTTTCATAGATTTTTATGAAATAACAAGTTTTAGAAACCTTCCTTTATGTGATTCTTCAGGAAAGTAATAAAAGATGAACTCACTGCCTCATGGTCAAAGTAGAGCATGATGAAAATGAAAATTTTTTAAAAAAGTGTGAGTTTTTTTACTTAAACGACCGTAACTCAGACATTTGACCATAAATTTTGGATTTCTTTTTTTGGATTAAAAGACACTTGTATCATTAAAAAAAATATCGGATTTGAAAATCGGATGAAAACTACTAAACTTATGATTTTTCAAATTTAAAACTTCAAAAATGGCTCTTTTTCGCATCTTTTGCTCTTAAAAAGTAAGTTAACGAAGTGATAGGGGAAAACTAAAAATATATTCGTACTCTATGGACTATAACGAAATAGAATTGGTATATGAGAACGCCTGTATTTTATTTTTCTTCACTTTTGTATCACAGTGTTATTTATAACAATAAGATATCAAAATATGTATGGGGGTCCGTGAAATTAAATAAATTCCTCAAGGGGTCCGCGAAGTAAAAATGGTGGGAACCGCTGGTCTAGTCTATAGTCTAGTCTATAGTCTAGTCTATAGTCTAGTCTATAGTCTAGTCTATAGTCTAGTCTATAGTCTAGTCTATAGTCTAGTCTATAGTCTAGTCTATAGTCTAGTCTATAGTCTAGTCTATAGTCTAGTCTATAGTCTAGTCTATAGTCTAGTCTATAGTCTAGTCTATAGTCTAGTCTATAGTCTAGTCTATAGTCTAGTCTAGTCTATAGTCTAGTCTAGTCTAGTCTAGTCTAGTCTAGTCTAGTCTAGTCTAGTCTAGTCTAGTCTAGTCTAGTCTAGTCTAGTCTAGTCTAGTCTAGTCTAGTCTAGTCTAGTCTAGTCTAGTCTAGTCTAGTCTAGTCTAGTCTAGTCTAGTCTAGTCTAGTCTAGTCTAGTCTAGTCTAGTCTAGTCTAGTCTAGTCTAGTCTAGTCTAGTCTAGTCTAGTCTAGTCTAGTCTATAGTCTAGTCTAGTCTAGTCTAGTCTATAGTCTAGTCTAGTCTAGTCTAGTCTAGTCTAGTCTATAGTCTAGTCTAGTCTATAGTCTAGTCTATAGTCTAGTCTAGTCTAGTCTAGTCTAGTCTAGTCTAGTCTAGTCTATAGTCTAGTCTATAGTCTAGTCTATAGTCTAGTCTATAGTCTAGTCTATAGTCTAGTCTATAGTCTAGTCTATAGTCTAGTCTATAGTCTAGTCTATAGTCTAGTCTATAGTCTAGTCTATAGTCTAGTCTATAGTCTAGTCTATAGTCTAGTCTATAGTCTAGTCTATAGTCTAGTCTATAGTCTAGTCTATAGTCTAGTCTATAGTCTAGTCTATAGTCTAGTCTATAGTCTAGTCTATAGTCTAGTCTATAGTCTAGTCTATAGTCTAGTCTATAGTCTAGTCTATAGTCTAGTCTATAGTCTAGTCTATAGTCTAGTCTATAGTCTAGTCTATAGTCTAGTCTATAGTCTAGTCTATAGTCTAGTCTATAGTCTAGTCTATAGTCTAGTCTATAGTCTAGTCTATAGTCTAGTCTAGTCTAGTCTAGTCTATAGTCTAGTCTATAGCCTTTCTTAGAATTGTTAACCTTTTTACTACTTACAAATATTTGATATTCCTCTTACTCCAAGTTTTTGCTCCAAAGATAAAACGTTTCTTTCTCGATTTTAAATTGATATTTTGTGCAGCAATAACCGGTTGTTGTCTTAGATAATATGGCTTGCCTTCGATATCGGGAACACCACAGCGGGGTTTAGTAAACAGCTGATAAATACCAAAAGAATGTGTAAACAATCTTTAAATTCAAGTTCATTGAACATAAATAGAATAAGAACAAGACAAAAAAATAAAAATAAACACAACTTTATCTGTCCCAAAAACACGCATTTAACAATTTATAATTAAATTGTCAAAGCAAGACTCAAGTTCTTATCTTTTTTTTTGTTTAAAACGCGAGTTACTCATTCACTAAAAGATTTAATTTTGAAGAAAATTTCAAAAACCTACATCTAAAGTTTGGGCATCTAGTCTACCGGTTTGATTTAAGGCACCATATTTTTGTATATTTTTAATGGCTTCCACTATGGCACTTTCATGATACAAGGCCTCTGAATCATCGGGATTTTGATCCAAGTAGCCAAAACGTCTCATAAATTTAATCTAAAAATAAGTTTTAATTAACATATATATTTTATAATTTTATTTCACACTCTTAGGAAATTTACCACTTCCGGTGGTGGTATTTCTATGCCATCTCTTGGTCCTACAGGAAATCCGTATATAAATTTTAGTATAAAAATTAACGAAAGTATGAAAAATGTTGAAAATTTCAACATTTCGTTATTGTTTAATAATTTTTACAGTTTTTCTTTATTGTTTTATTTTAATCTTATATTTAAAGCTTTTTATTAACCGACCATTCCGAGAGCTGTTTGAAATTAAACTAAAAGATTAACCGGCAAATTTTTATTTCAAATCTTTGCCTACCACAAATTTAATATCCCAACAACAGCAGCAGTATTCAATTCTTATCAGTGTGTATTGAAATATTTTTAGTCTCTTTTAATTAATTCAAAGACAAAGAGATCACAGAAAGAGAGAGAGAGAGAGTGATTATGTTTTGTTCTCAATAAGTTTGCATAATGCACTTGATGATCATAAAAAAGTAGAAGTGATCACAGGTTAAGCTTATTTTCTCAAAAAACCCAGTATTTACTGAGTTATTATCGATTTAAAGTTTTATGGACTTTTCCTCCCATAAAAATCGATTTTTGTAAAAAGTAGAAGTGATTACAGATTAAGCTTATTTTCCCATAAAAAGCCTGTATTTATTGAGTTACTGAACCCACTTTCTGAAATTGTCAACTTTATCTCTTCTTCTTTTTGTTTATTTTTTTTTTAAGATTTTCCATAAATTTTTATTAATAACTGTACATTAAATAGCAAACATGCAAATATTCAAAATAATACATATTTAACACACTTTCAAGTTGTTTTCAAATAATTCATTCAAATTCCTCCAACTTATCCAACTCTTTTTTTTATTAGTTTCCTTCCCATCTCATCTGCCTCCTTGTTGCAACGATCACAACTTCAATAATGATTACGTCTCTTATTTGAGGGACAATATTCAGCATATTCTTCCCAAGTGCAACCTGCCTTAGTGCAGCATTCAGTGGTTATGGAATGGGCATTTGAACGACGTGTCCTTAAAAGTGTTTGAGCAAAATTCGGCTGCAGCCACATGGGTAGAAATGTATGAGCTAAAGGTAAGTGGATAAATATATTGTTTATTATTTATATAATAATATTACAAATATCATATGGGAGATATAATAATATATATAATTTGTAAAATCCTTACATTTACTACGTTTATTGAAAGTTTCATCGGTGCGTTTACGATTACGTCGAGTCAAACGATAGATATCTTTTTCACAGGCCCAATACAGTTGACGTACTAGTTTATCGCGACAGCGTGAATGCGTCTCACTATGCCAGACATCTTCCCAGTCGGAGTTGGTTCTGAAATGATGAGACAAATATTTGAATGACAAATAAATCTAAAGTCTAGACTATAGTTAAGTTTAGTTTATAATCTAGCCAAAACTGTTGACTTAAGTTTTACCAAAAATCTCAACTTTATAGTCTCGTCAAACTTGATTATAATCTGATCTATGAATCGGCTTTGGTCTAGTCCGTAGTCACTACAGTTGTGTGATTTTTAGTCTTGTCTATTGTATCGTCCATAGCCTGGTTAATAGACTTGATTAGAGTGTCTACTATGGTCGAATTTGAGAGGTTATATTCAATATTATCTATCCTAAATTAGGATCAGAATTTACTAGGTGAAAGTGCTAAAAATATCAATCGATTATAACCCGTAATCGTTCTATTTTGACGTTGAAACCAAAGATTTTTGTTAAAAGTTGTCCCTCTCGGAATTATTTCTGTGGAAGTGTTATATATTCGATACTCGTTCTATGGAACCGTTTTAGAACTTATTCATTAATCAATGATTTTTCGTTATTCACAGTATAATCGTTGTTCAAAGTTTCTGTTCCATGAAAATAAATTTATTTTATTATATCTTTTGCCTTTCTAAATCTTTATAAGAATCGAAGTCGGTGTAGCGATACCCTGTCTGTCCGACTAAGGAAATTCCCATTTTTAGTTGGTTTTTAATTGTCCGGCTGTCTTTCTGTTTTTATGTTTGTTGAAATCAATCAATCTAAAGACCCCAGTTATCTTTGGGATTCAAAAGAATATACTTTTGATATATTCATACTTAACGGAGATATAAGCATAATTCCGAAACAACCCATAAAAATATATTGATACCTAATTCTACACGATATCGGTCCACAATATCCATTCGGAAATTATGATGTGGGGATAAAATTATACTGGACCTATAGAATGGTCATAGATAGCTCCCATATAAAGCACTCCTGAAATTTTCGTAACATACAACTTATGAATTAATTATGATATCGTGATAAAATTCTACACAAATATACTTATATATAAATCATTCTACGACACTTTTTCCGGAACGGGGTCCATTATTTGTTTTCAATCTTTAGAAAATGTAAATTTTTAGAAATATTCGACATGTTAGTGAAAAATTAGCTTGTAGGCGAAAGGTTATTCAAGATTCGGCATTACTTTTCTATCAAGTTTTCAACTTGTTCCAAGTTATTGATTTAGAACTAGAATGTGTTTCATTCTTGTGGAACTAGTATGTGTTAGAACTGGTTGCTCGGCTGCAGTTTAAAATCACAATAAAGTTCCAGAGAACGAGTTCTAAAAGTAAAGTCGTTAACACAAGATCCAAGATTGCAATTCAACAATCTAAAATGGTCCCGTTTGACCTCAGAACTAGAACTAGTTTTATAAGAACAAATTCTATAAATTTTCCGGAATAGAATCAAAATTAAAAACCTTTTTATGATTTGTATATTGTCCACTTTCTTTTAACTTTAACTTTTATTATACCAATATTTCGTACCTCTGTCTGAATAATAATTCCAGACCCTCTTCAGTATGTATGGCCTCTGCATTGTAACTGTTTAGAATAAAACCAATTAAAATTGCCGACAAACCAATATAACACTGTTTTAAGGAAATTTTCATTTCAGGTTTGAAATTTTTAAATATTTTTTTTATGAATTTCCTAAAATTTTCAATATTTTTTTTTTCTGGTTGAAACTTGCAAAAAACTTTTCGAAAGACAAAATATGCGTTGTTGTCTACAGCTCAGATGTATAATGATAACTGAAGATATCTTAAGGATTGTTTAACAATTTCAATGATATTTTTGTCCACGGTTCAGAGTCATAAATTTTAACAAAATATAACTCCTGCAATCGTAGGTGTTGACGCTGTTACTGGTCATGAGTTGGTCTATTGGCTATTACTATGCGTATGTGTACCAGATGTATGCATGTGTGTGAAAGTGAGTAAATATTGTATTAAATTTGAAATTACGACCTGTTTGTACTTATTGTACATTCATTTAACAGTTTTTTTTTCATATTGTTTTGTGTTGTTCTCTAACCAATATTTACAAAATCTGGTCCACCAAAATCATTTAGTATGCTTTAGAACGAAGGTAGTAAGCGAAAAAAATAACTTCTATCTTCGCATAATTTAAGATTTCCTTAATTTCTTGCACATCCCTCGTTTACTATACCTGCGAAAGAATTGCAAGCGAAATAAGCCAGATTTTATTTTTTCTGCGTTTTGTTGTCTTAACAAAAAGTTATTTGTTGTCTCTCGCCCAACTAATGAAGACATATTTACCGTATGTGAACAATAATGAATCGTTACAATAGCAACAATAACAATATATAACTGTAAAACTACAAGTAACACCAATCCTTATAATAAAATCCAAAGGAAAACATACAATCCGTTTAGTTTATTATTGGCGATTTACACTAGATGATGTGTAAATTAGTTTAACGTTACTTTCTCGCCTTTTCACCTGTTATCATTATTAAAGTTGTCGACGATGTTGTGGTTTTTTTTTCTATTTTCTATTCGTCCGACATTTGTACTCAGTACAATAATAGAAATTCATTGTTTTTGTAGTATTTATATCGGATATGTATTCACATTCCTTTAAATTGACTCTAACTGCTCTCAGTTGACTTTCTTGCCTTTTACTGACATTTAGTTTTGTTCCACAAATATCTTAATATTTAATGTAGCAAAAATATTTTGTTTGGAGATGGAACTACGTCAGGTTAAACTTATTATTATTATTATTATTATTAAAATTAAAAACCCCTGAATTTTTATATGGGAGCTATGGATTTGCCTATTTGTCAATACCATGACAATTATAGAGTATATTTATGTAAAATTTAAGCTCTCTATCTCCTCCTGTTTACGCCTTTGCCGTGCTTTTAACAGACATACGGACGGACATACTTAGAACGTCTTATAAAATATAAATAACTATAGGCTGGACTATAATCTTGCCTACAGCTTAATCTATAATGTAACGACAGGATTATAGGCTTTGCAACAGTTTAGTCTAAGAACTAAACTTGTATCTTGATTACAGTTCTGACTACAGTCTCTAGTCTATAGACTGGACTATAGTCTTGACTACAATCTAATCTATAGACTGGACTATAGCCTTGACTACAATCTAGTCTATAGACTGGACTATAGTCTTGACTATAATCTAGTCTATAGACTGGATTATAGTCTTGACTACAGTCTAGTCTATAAACTGGAATATCGCCTTGACTACAGTCTAGTCTATGGACCAGACTATCGTCTTGACTACAGCCTAGTCTATAGACTGGACTATCGTCTTGACTACAGTCTAGTGTATAGACTATATTATATATAGACTAGACTGTAGTCACAGACTTCACATTGTCTTGACTCTAGCCTAGTCTATAGACTGTACTATCACTCTACTCCATAGACTGAGTGTAGACAAGATAGACGTTTTTTGAAGGAATATATGAGTGATCACAAAATAATCTTATATTTCAATTTAAATGTGTTTTAACGAAGTTATAAGCAATTTTAGTTTTTTCAAGTTTATTGATCAGAAAATTGATTTTTAAAAGAAAATATGAGTGATCACAGAATAAGCTTATTTTTCAATTTAAACGTGTTTTAACGAAGTTATAAGCGATTTTAGTTTTTTCAAGTTTATTGATCAGAAAAACGATTTTTGAAGGAAAATATGAGTGATCACAAATGAAGCTTATTTTTCAATTTAAGCGTGTTTTAACGAAGTTATAAGCGATTTAAGTTTTTTCAAGTTTATTGATCAGAAAAACGATTTTTGAAGGAAAATATGAGTGATCACAAATGAAGCTTATTTTTCAATTTAAACGTGTTTTAACGAAGTTATAAGCGATTTTAGTTTTTTCAAGTTTATTGATCAGAAAATCGATTTTTGAAGGAAAATATGAGTGATCACAGAATAAGCTTATTTTTCAATTTAAACGTGTTTTAACGAAGTTATAAGCGATTTTAGTTTTTTCAAGGTTATTGATCAGAAAATCGATTTTTAAAAGAAAATATGAGTGATCACAAATGAAGCTTATTTTTCAATTTAAGCGTGTTTTAACGAAGTTATAAACGATTTTAGTTTATTGATCAGAAAATCGATTTTTGAAGGAAAATATGAGTGCTCACAGAATAAGCTTATTTTTCAATTTAAACGTGTTTTAACGAAGTTATAAGCGATTTTAGTTTTTTCAAGTTTATTGATAAGAAAATCGATTTTTGAAGGAAAATATGAGTGATCACAGAATAAGCTTATTTTTCAATTTAAACGTGTTTTAACGAAGTTATAAGCGATTTTAGTTGTTTCAAGTTTATTGATCAGAAAATCGATTTTTGAAAGAAAAAATGAGTGATCACAAATGAAGCTTATTTTTCAATTTAAACGTGTTTTAACGAAGTTATAAGCGATTTTAGTTTTTTGAAGTTTATTGACCAAAAAATCGATTTTTGAAGGAAAATATGAGTGATCACAGAATAAGCTTATTTTTCAATTTAAACGTGTTTTAACGAAGTTATAAGCGATTTAAGTTTTTTCAAGTTTATTGATCAGAAAATCGATTTTTGAAGGAAAATATGAGTGATCACAGAAAAAGCTTATTTTTCAATTTAAACGTGTTTTAAAGATCACAGAATAAGCTTATTTTTCAATTTAAACGTGTTTTAACGAAGTTATAAACGATTTTAGTTTTTTCAAGTTTATTGACCAAAAAATCGATTTTTGAAGGAAAATATGAGTGATCACAAATGAAGCTTATTTTTCAATTTAAACGTGTTTTAACGAAGTTATAAGCGATTTTAGTTTTTTCAAGTTTATTGATCAGAAAATCGATTTTTGAAGGAAAATATGAGTGATCACAGAATAAGCTTATTTTTCAATTTAAACGTGTTTTAACGAAGTTATAAGCGATTTTAGTTTTTTCAAGGTTATTGATCAGAAAATCGATTTTTAAAAGAAAATATGAGTGATCACAAATGAAGCTTATCTTTCAATTTAAGCGTGTTTTAACGAAGTTATAAACGATTTTAGTTTTTTGTAAAAAAATCGATTTTTGAAGGAAAATATGAGTGATCACAGAATAAGCTTATTATTCAATTTAAAGGTGTTTCAACGAAGTTATAAGTGATTTTAGTTTTTTCAAGTTTATTGATCAGAAAATCGATTTTTGAAGGAAAATATGAGTGATCACAGAATAAGCTTATTTTTCAATTTAAACGTGTTTTAACGAAGTTATAAACGATTTTAGTTTTTTCAAGTTTATTGACCAAAAAATCGATTTTTGAAGGAAAATATGAGTGATCACAGAATAAGCTCATTTTTCAATTTAAACGTGTTTTAACGAAGTTATAAGCGATTTTAGTTTTTTGACCAAAAAATCGATTTTTGAAGGAAAATATGAGTGATCACAGAATAAGCTTGTTTTTCAATTTAAACGTGTTTTAACGAAGTTATAAGCGATTTTAGTTTTTTCAAGTTTATTGACCAACGTTAAAACGTGTTTTAACGAAGTTATAAGCGATTTTAGTTTTTTCATGTTTATTGATCGGAAAATCGATTTTTGAAGGAAAATATGAGTGATCACAGAATAAGCTTATTTTTCAATTTAAACGTGTTTTAACGAAGTTATAAGCGATTTTATAAGCGATATGAGTGATCACAAATGAAGCTTATTTTTCAATTTAAACGTGTTTTAACGAAGTTATAAGCGATTTTAGTTTTTTCATGTTTATTGATCAAAAAATCGATTTTTGAAGGAAAATATGAGTGATCACAGAATAAGCTTATTTTTCAATTTAAACGTGTTTTAACGAAGTTATAAGCGATTTTAGTTTTTTCAAGTTTATTGATCAGAAAATCGATTTTAGAAGGAAAATATGAGTGATCACAGAATAGGCTTATTTTTCAATTTAAACGTGTTTTAACGAAGTTATAAGCGATTTAAGTTTTTTCAAGTTTATTGATCAGAAAATCGATTTTTGAAGGAAAATATGAGTGATCACAAATGAAGCTTATTATTCAATTTAAACGTGTTTTAACGAAGTTATAAGGGATTTTAGTTTTTTCAAGTTTATTGATCAGAAAATTTGAAGGAAAATATGAGTGATCACAGAATAAGCTTATTTTTCAATTTAAACGTGTTTTAACGAAGTTATAAGCGATTTTAGTTTTTTCAAGTTTATTGACCAGAAAATCGATTTTTGAAGGAAAATATGAGTGATCACAGAATAAGCTTATTTTTCAATTTAAACGTGTTTTAACGAAGTTATAAGGGATTTTAGTTTTTTCAAGTTTATTGATCAGAAAATCGATTTTTGAAAGAAAATATGAGTGATCACAGAATAAGCTTATTTTCCAATTTAAACGTGTTTTAACGAAGTTATAAGCGATTTTAGTTTTTTCAAGTTTATTGACCAAAAAATCGTTTTTTGAAGGAAAATATGAGTGATCACAGAATAAGCTTATTTTTCAATTTAAACGAGTTTTAACGAAGTTATAAGCGATTTTAGTTTTTTGAAGTTTATTGACCAGAAAATCGATTTTTGAAGGAAAATATGAGTGATCACAGAATAAGCTTATTTTTCAATTTAAACGTGTTTTAACGAAGTTATAAGGGATTTTAGTTTTTTCAAGTTTATTGATCAGAAAATCGATTTTTGAAAGAAAATATGAGTGATCACAAATGAAGCTTATTTTTCAATTTAAACGTGTTTTAAACG